AATGCCGATATACATGGAAACTATTAACTCTGCTTGTAGATATGCCTTTCAAGTGATCTGTTTTTCAATTAATATAGGTCTGCTGCATTTGCATAGCCAAGTATGTAAACAACGAAGAGCTTAGAGAGTTGCCATGTTCTCATTTCTTTCACAAGGATTGTGTAGATAAATGGCTAAAGATCAACAACACATGCCCACTTTGTAAAGCTGAGGTTGGGGAGACTCTTTTGGGTTCACTTACAGAAGCAACTGCCAATTTGCATGCCAGCTCTGTGTTTTAAGCTGGTTGTGTAATATTATAGCACATAGATACATGAATGCAGTGTTTGTATGTGGACATGGCGTTAAAACACAGATCACCTACGTCAACTCTATTTGGAAATTTTCATGTGTTATTTTGTAGGGGGTGGGGGTCCATGGTCGAGTCGGTGGCAGCAAACCGCCTTGGTTTCGGACATCGAGGGTTATCTGTTTATATTATGCAACATTTATAGATATTACTTAGAGTTGGGCATTTTACATGTCTGTTCATATATTGTATGTCGGCATGACTCAAAGTATAGTAGTATTTAAATTAGGAATATAGCATAAACACATTGCTTGGTTGCTTTGTCTAGTCCTGATATAGGTGGAAGATTGGATAAGTCAAGTCCACGCCACAACCCTAAGGACATGTTTACTTCACCGGTTATTAAACGGTGCTTATTAAGACCCGTGTTAATAAGCGGCGCATAAAATAAACAATGTTGTAAGACCGTGTTTACTTCAAACGGTTTAAAACACCGCTTAACATTAGTCCTGGACTCGGGCCGGGCGGACCGAACCGGGCCCGACCCGGCCCGCTCACTGTAGCAACCGGCCCGACCCGGTCCACCGGGCCACAGGCGGTTCGGGCCTACCCGGCCCGGGTGTAGGGCGGTCTGGGCCCGGGCCTTTATTTTCTTGAACCGGCCCGGCCGGGCCGGGCCCGGTCCGGGCCTAACGGCTAATTTTTTTTAAAAAAAATTCTTTTTCAAATATTTTTTGGCCTTGGTCTTGGTCTTTGTAGCCGTTGGGGCTGTTTGGGAGCCTCCAAACGGCTCTATAGCCGTTGGAGGGGGTGGAGGGAGAAAAAAAAACCTATTTATACTCCTATTTTCTATACATTTTTTACACCTTCTCTACTCTCTAATTCTCTATTCTCTCAATCTCTAAAATCTTCATTCATCTCCATCTTCATCTTCTATTCTTCTCCAATTTATCTCTACATATATATTATTTATATAAATATTATTATATCTACTTATATATTTATTATCTACTTATATATACATATATTACATTACTAATATTTATTATCTACTTAATATATATTTATTATCTTATAATTAGCTACTTTACATATATATATATATATATATATATATATATATATATATATTATATAACTGAGTGCTCTTCTCATCAGGCCGGCCTGACGGGCTGCCCCGTCCGGCCGAGCCCATTTGGGCACCTTCCCGGTGGAATTTTTTGATGAAATTTTTTGAGCATGTTCCTCATCAAGTCTAGTTTGTCCATACCAAATTTCAGCTCAAAATTCGATCGGGAAGGTCGTCAAATGATTTTTGCAAGTTAACTGGTCCGGAATATGTATTTTCCGGACCAGTTAACTTGCAAAAATCATTTGACGACTTTCCCGATCGAATTTTGAGCTGAAATTTGGTATGGACAAACTAGACTTGATGAGGAACATGCTCAAAAAATTTCATCAAAAAATTCCATCGGGAAGGTGCCCAAATGGGCTCGGCCGGACGGGGCAGCCCGTCAGGCCGGCCTGACATGAAGTTTCATCTTATATAACTTATATTCCTTATCTACTTAATCTCTACTTATTATTAATATATTATATCTACTTATATATTTATTATCTACTTATATATACATATAGTACTTTACTAATATTTATTGTCTACTTAATAGTTAATATATACTTACTATCTTCTTAAAGTAGATAATTTGATATCTAATTATCTACTTTACATACATATATTATCTTCTCCCTATTCATCATCAACCAATCGGCCAATCCACCAAGGTATTCTTCTCTTCTTTTATCCATTAATGGCGTTATATTCAAGTAGTAAATTTGGAAATTTTAATTAAAGTATAAAACTAGTTAATTTGTTGCATTTCTCATTAAAGTGTACACCTAGTAAATTTAGACATTTTAATTAAAGTATAAAACTAGTTAAGTTTTTGCATTATTCATTAAAGTGTACACCTAGTAAATTTAGACATTTTAATTAAAATATAAAACTAGTTAAGTTGTTGCATTATTCATTAAAGTGTACAAGTAGTAAATTTGGACATTTTAATTAAAGTATAAAACTAGTTAAGTTGTTGCATTATTCATTAAAGTGTACACCTAGTAAATCTAGACATTTTAATTAAAATATAAAACTAGTTAACTATGAACAAAGCACAATTAATGAGATTGCTTTGTATATTAACTATGAGGTTGAGTTTGTAGAAAATGAAGATTTTGACGTCCTAAAGTGGTGGAAGTCAAAAGAAAGAACGTTCCCGATTTTGGCACGGATGGCTAAGCAAGTACTATCAATGCCGGTTTCAACAATTGCCGTGGAACAAGAATTTAGTTCGGCCGGCAACGTCCTAACTAAATCGAGAACGTGTTTGAGTGCCGAATCTCTTGAGACGCTTATATGCTACCACGATTGGTTGAAGGCAAGACGTAGAACTCAAGAACTTAGCCTCATCCCCTCCCAAGACTTTATGGATGAATCAACCGATGGTGGTTCTACCTATGCCGGGGATTCCGATTGATTAGTATTTTACAATTTATTATTTTATCCTCAATTCTCTATTGTAATTTGTGAACTTGTAGATTTGTAGTTCATATTTCAAATCAATAAAAGTTAAATTTTTTTATATGTCGCATTTTTTAATTATATTATATTATTATTACTTAATACAAAATGTATTAGAATTAATTGTTCTCAATTCTCAAAATGTACTTATTACTTATTTCACATAAATGTACTTCAAGATTGTTTTTAAATAATTTTAATATTCAAGATTCCAAGTAGATGTATAAGAATATAAGTTAAAAAAAAAATATTCTAGGCCCGACCCGCCGGTTCACCCGACCCGGGGCCCGGCCGGGTCACCCGGCCCGAACCGGCACCCGCTTACAGGCGGGCCGGGCCCGGGCCTTACATTTCCGAACCGAGGCCCGGCCGGGCCCAGGCCCGAACCGGGCCCGAACCAGCCCGAGTCCAGGACTACTTAACATTAAAATGTCCAAAATAACCCTATACATATATATACACACAAACATTCATGAACACAAGTATATAATATAATATGTGTACCCATACCCCTAACCCCTTACCCACCCTACCTTACCCCGACCCCACCCACCGCCTACCCCTACCCTACCCCTACCCTACCTACCTGACCCCACCCTACCTACCCGACCCTACCCCTACCCGACCCCACCCTAACCTGTCCCCACCCTACCACAACCCTACCCCCGACCCCATAGGCCCCTACCCCCATAGGCCCTTACCACATCGACCCCACCCCAACCCTACTTACCCGACCACACACCTACCCTTACCCTACCTACCCCACCCCTTACCCACATACCACCCTACCTACCCGAACCCACCCTACCACTACCCGGGTTGGGTAGGGTAGGGGTAGGGCGGGGTTGGGGTAAGGTGGGGTCGGGGTGGGGTCGATGTGGTAAGGGCCTATGGGGGTAGGGGCCTATGGGGTCGGGGGGTAGGGTTGTGGTAGGGTGGGGACAGGTTAGGGTGGGGTCGGGTAGGGGTAGGGTCGGTGGGGTAAGGGTGGGGTCGGGGTAAGGGTAGTGTAGGTGGGGTAAGGGTAGGGTGGGGGGTCAGTTAGATAGGGTAGGGGGGTGTCTGGTAATGGGGTAGGGTAGGGGTAAGGTGGGGGGTAAGTGTAGGGTGGGGGTCGGACAGGTAAGGTAGGGGTGGGTTCGGGGGTAGTGGTAGGGGGGGGTCGGGTAGGTAGGGGTAGGGTCGGGGTAGGTAAGGGTATGGTGGGGTCGGTTAGGTAGGGTAGGGGTGGGGTCGGGGTGGGGTAGGGTAGGTGGGGTAGGGGTGGGGTTGGGGTGGGGTAGGTGGGGTAGGGGTAGGGTGGGGTTGGGGTCGAGGTGGGGCATGGATAACAATAGGTTAAGGGCAAGGGGTAAATTCGGAAACTGAAAAAGATTAAAGTGCCGCTTAATTAATACATGGGGGGTGGCATGCTTAATAAGCGGCACTTTAAGCACCTGTTTCGGTTAGTAAGCGGCTTTTTAAGCAGTGTGCGTGTTTACTTCACCTTTCTTACTAACCTAACTGTGACTTTAGCAGTGAAGTAAACACCTCCTAACGCTTATGTTGCTTCTCTATGTTGAATAGTGCAAAATAACAAATTCATACAGCTTCCTCCAAGTCTCCAACTCTAAGTGGTTAAACCGATACTTGAGGGCTACTATTAAGACTGATCACTCAGGATTATTCGACTTTCCATTGATAAGAAAATTCTAGCAATATTAGTCTTACTCTTGTAGACTTGTACTTCGTATTAGTTATGTATCATAGATAAAGAATAAAGCCTTTATAAAACATAAATCACAAATATTTAAAGAAGATTCATCATTTAATCAAATACATTTATAAAAGAAAAGCATGTTGATAGTGTCAATTTAATCCTTGTTTGGATCAAAACGGTCTTTCATCATCTTATGGTTATTTTCCACCATATTTTCATCAACTGGATTCTGGAGCAACCTGGTCATCATTTTAATCAACGCCATGGCTCATCAAATTTTGAAATTAAAGCTAAGATTTTTTTTGGAGAACAAATAAAGCTAAGTTATGAAGTTCAATGTACTAACTATTCTAGTCTTTACCAAAAAAAACTATTCTAAAGTCTAAACTAAAGAAAAAAAATGATTAGAATTAAGGTTTTACAGAACCTAACCCCCACAATCTATAGTCAATGTCATTGATCCATATGCTAATCTATATATTGGCAATCCACAGCCAACATTGCCATTAACATCTTTTGGTACATACTTTTTTATGCTTAGAAAAGGCCATCTTTATGCCTTCGGGACCAATTTTTGTTAATCTTGCTTATGGAATATACTCAGATTTAGGTAATAGAGAGATGCATACCACATAAATGGTTGTTCTATAAAATCAACATTAGTGTTCATTTAGATTATTTAGTAGAAGCATAATCAACTTAGATTATAAATATTGTAGAGCTGGAAGCATGTTCAGCATGGTCAAGGAGTGATTTGATGTGCTTTGCTTCTTCCCAAATGCGAGCGATCAATCTGTTGGGTCATCAAAGAAACACAATGATACAGGCTCACATTCCCTTTTTAACAGCATGAGCAGAAGGATATACTAACAAGATTCAATGCTCGGTTAACTCTGTGGTGAAGGACTCGAGTTTCCCTTTTTTATAATGCAAAGTTACACCCTGCACTACACAGGTGGAGCTCATGACCCACACTTGGGGCCAAACCGATTCCTCAATGCTAGCCGCCTAGCCCCACCAACATGTCAGCACATGTATAATCTCTCTCAGAGGGAGCGCAGGGTGTCATGGGAAGAGGTTGAACCGGGCTGGTTAGACTTAAGAGACTCGATGTTTTCTATCAATCAGCGGGTTTGCAAATTGGCATGACATTCTGAAGCCGGTTTCTACGTTTTGCAAGCTTACTTCGGCTTGCACATGTCTTTAAGATGTCAGACATTTCTTCGGCTTTCTCAATTATTGATTTTCTTCTTACAGGTGAAGAATCTCCAACAACTATAGTGTATGTGTTAGGCAACTTTTTTGAATGCGATAACGCCGCCATCATATCACAAAGTTTATTTACCTTTGAGTCCATTCCCTGTTTCTTTAGAGCATCAACCATTTTCTGATAAGTGAGGTATTGAGGTACAAGCCCTCTCCGGACCATGTCTTCGAACCATTGAATAGCCTCATCAAATCGCTGCATCTTGCAGAGCAAATGAATCAGCATAGTACTTGTAGCCAGGTCCATGTCACATCCTCTAGTCCTCATTTCACTGATTATTTGCATTGCCAGGTCCAGCTTTTCTTGTTCACATAACATCTTAACCAATAGATGGTAAGTAAGCCGATCAGGCTCATATCCAGATTCATTCAGCTTCGTATAAAGGTTTAAGCCTTCTTCAATCTTCCCATACTTCGAGAAGTGCCTAAAGAAATAATTGTAAGTGGTGGGACTTGGCATAAAACCCCTATTTATCATCATCTTAAGAATCTTAATAGCCTCTGAGAGATCCCCGGCCTTGCAGAAACCCTTCACTAGTGAATTGTACGTAGAAATTGTGGGGCCAGATTCTGTTACTATTAAACGTTCCATCATCCCCAAGGCCTCCTTGAACTGCCCAGCTTCTCCCAATGCATCAATTATTGGATTGAAGACAATAGCACTGGGCTGAATTCCTTCATTCCTCATTTCACCCATCAGCTCTATTGCGACCTCTACTCTGCGCATGCGGCAATATCCTTCAATGAGAGTACCATAAGTTACAATATTAGGAATGATATTTTCCTTTCTCATCTCCATCCATAGCTTTTCAGCCTTTTTAAGATTTCTTGACCGAAACCATCCATTCAGCAGAATGTTATAAATTCTCGTGGATGGAACCCAACTAGGGTCTAGGCCCTTTTTCCTGTTGAAATATTGAGAAGCTACCTTGGGTTGCCCTTCTTTACATAAAGAATCTAATAGAATCTCAAATAATTTCTTCTCTGGATCCAATGAACGAATAAATTCAAGAGTTGATGAAAACTCGAACGTTCTAATGGCTCCCATGCTCATACCTGAAAAGCCAACACCTTCTTAGAGAAAAATTAAAGGGGGCCTAAATGCACACTGACAAAGTGCTTATAGGTAACAATATCTGATATCATGCATCACAACAGAAAAGCGCTGCAAAGTCAAATCATTATACAGTGGATCAGCAGCGAGGGATGAAATGGGAGTTATCAGCAGCGAGGTCATCAAGTCGGCATAGGTATTGTGGATCAGAAGATTTAAATCCAGAATCCCGTACATCTTATCATATTATATCACGATATGAGTCCTACGACATGGGGTAAAAAATGAAAAATTACAAGATCAATATAATTTTACTTCCGGGAAATTGGAACACATATACTCCCTCCGATCCCAAATGAACTTCAAACTTTCCTTTTTTGGGTAGGTCCAAAATAAACTTCACACTTCTATTTTTAGCAACTTTTTAATATAAAGTTACCCTTATACCCTTACTTTATTACCTACTTTACACCCACTTTCTCTCTCCCACTACACTTTATCTACTTTTTGGGGGGCATAATGAGAAAGTCAAAACAAAAAATTCCACTTTCTTAAAAACCGTAAAGTCAAACAATGAAGTTCTTTTGGGACCGGAGGAAGTAAAAGATGAGGACTCCGACAACCAACTCTGGGGCACGTCTGCAATCAAGCCGATAGATACCAATCATAGAGAGGAGGAGGAAGAAAAAGCCCCTACATTCTTGGCAAGTTGGCACGTGCTCTTAAGAGATGTGAGCTGCTCTTTCACTAAATCAAAATCAAAAGACACATGCTTTGGGTTTTGATTATTAGTATCCGAAATGCAACCTCACCCCTTAGGCATAAAGCATCAGATTGCACTTAACTATCACCTTCTTCAAGATAATTCTTTAGGGTTAAAAGGAAAAGTCAGATATCATAACTTTGTCAAGATAAAGTCACTCCAAATTGTTACAAAGAGCTTTTGACCATGGTATAAAAAGGCGCTTAAGAGGCGGATTTTGAGGCGCGCCTCAAGGTGAGGCGTACAGATTGGGTATCAGGGCTTAGGTTTTTTCACAGGTTAAGAGGCTCACGCCTCAAAAGTTGAGGCGTACACCTTGAGGCGCGCCCTAAGGCATTTTTCAGGCATTCTTCCTTTGTTTCTCTGTTTTTAATGCGCAGTAACTTAAAAAAAGCCCAAGGTATTTCATTTAACAAAAGGCCCAGAGTACGTTTTATATAGAAGTCCATTAATCAAACATGTGGCCACACAAAATTCTAACAAGTCTTATTTCATTCAAACTCTAGCAAGTCTTTTTATTCATTTAATCTCTAAGTCCCTAACGTATACTTTCTATTCATCTTTCAGTTTGTGTGAGATATTTCTGTGTGTGATATGGCTGTTTGTGTGTGATGTTTCTGTTTGTGATCGATGAAGCCACCTCATCAGCCATGAAGCCAGTCCACAGTATGCCTCATGTACTTCAGTATTCAGGTAATCTAAGATTAATCTAATGTAAGACTGGAGAACCCAGTGTTCCACAATTTCACCATCAATACAAAATCACCAACCTTCTTGAGTCGTGAGCAGCAATAGAGAGAGAAAAGCATGGTAAACAATGGAAATTTCATCTGACAATAAAATTGAGGTGAGACAATTAGCAACCTGCACGAGCATATCGTCTGATCATAATTGTAAATGTCTCTAAATTGGGCTTTGCATCCGACGAACTAATCCGTTCACGTATCAAAGACCAAGCACTTTCAAAGTCCCTTCCTTTTCCAAGAGCATTAACCATCGCATTGAGCACAGCTACGGAAAAATTGCACCAGGGCTGCTTCTCCGCCCAAAGAAAGAGGGGCAATAGGGTTTTATGAGAAGAATCGAAGTGGTTGAAGAGATCAAGGAAAAGAGCCTCGTCAAGCACAATTCCAGCACTGTCCAATGCCTGTTGTAGGTCCGGGCCGGGCAAAACGGTAGGATCTCTCAGGAGGTTACAGACTTTGGTGAAATCATTTGGGTTTTGGGGTTGAAACTTAGTGTTTGGGTGGGAAGGGGGGCTTAAGCTGGGTGATTGTGATCGATGCTGGGGTTTTAAAGGCCACCTCATCAGGGTCTTTCCATGGTTTAAGAGCAATGACTCGGTGGAGATGAGTTTACGGCTGCTGGCGGTGGTGATGGGAGTTCGGAGGGCGAGAAAATGGGCGGAGAAGCGACATCTGGGAGTCCAGCCCGACATTGTGCCTTTAATTTCCGCAGAAAGGGTTTACGCCGCCAGGAGAGCGGGCGGAAAGAGGAGTGCAGCCGCCGGAGAATGGTGAAATTTAAATATACATGTATAAATATGGAGTTTTTGCCTCTTTTGTATACTCTATTTCCAATTTTTCCATTTTTAACTCTCAACTATTATGCTAAAGATGACAATGTTGATCTTTTATAAAAGTTGATAATGTCACTTTTATAAAAGTTGAAGGACTAAATATGAAAAATTTTCATAGAGAGGTACCAAAAGTGTCTCTAACACAAAAGTTGAGGATTAGAAATCGAAAAAATCAAAAGTGTCAATGACATAATAGTCGAAGGAATAAAAAGGTCAAAAACTCTATAAATATGACACGATTTTTTTTCCTTATCCATCCAAAAGAAGAATCGGTCTCACCATCTGAGATAGTGAGATTCTGAGGCACCAAATAACAACAAATACACATTTTTGGATTTTTTTTTCAACACAAATGGTTGTGTAAGCTATTTTGTCTATCATCCGCACCAAAAGTTATTTGTATACAATGACTATGTATGGATCGTAGGAGGGATTTTGCTATTTTCAAAAAAAAAAAAAAAAATTGTAGACAGTATTTTATTACTACGTATGTCCTCTCAACGTGAAATATCAATACTTTTTTTTAACTATGATGAGTTTGTAATAGTTATCTTACCTTTGGTAATGTTATAGTGTGGTGGTGATATTAACGAAATCTAAAGTGCTTGAAACTTGTGCTTGAACTTATGTGTAGTGTAGACTTTGTACACATATTATAATCTTTGACATAGGTATACATTCACAAAAGCTGTGAAAATACGTTAATTTTTGCACATACATATCCGCACTCTGCAAATTTCTTCACAATACCACACACATTAATGTATGTGAATGTGTTTATGTTAATTATCACCTTGAACAACTTAAACACTTATCAAATGAATTATATCAAACCGTCAAAATTCATGACAGATTAATGTATGTCTATGAGCGTGTCTATATTCATGTTTTTCATATTCGCCAATCCTTCTATAATCATATTGACGCTGGACAGTTTCGCCTTCCTCACTAAAAAAGGTAACCATCTTCTCTATTCATCTTCTTCATCAAGAATTCCAATCAAGAAGCTAGCTTAGACAGTTCTTCAGCTTTTAATATACTATGACTAGGTTTATTTTAATTCTATAAGAAGCATCCACATGAATATATTCAGTTATTATGCTGAGGTAACTAACTCATAATAGGTTTTTAATTAATACAAAATGAATTTTATTTTCGATTATTTATACATACATATATCTATATATATTGATGTTGGATTCTTGGTAAATTGTGGATGTTTTAAATCGAATAACTTGGTCCCCTCCTGGATGTAAACAAAAAAGTCATTAAAAGTTAATGTACTGACTTCTAATGAAAGTTATTCATTTTTTACTTTGATTCGTGTGACTTCCAATCTGTGAACTAACTTGATGAGGTGATGTTTTTTTATTCCAACTTGTAAAATAGTGATTTTCCATTATTCCAGACTTCAACTATGATGTACTACGCATTACCATAAATTGCTTGACAATATAAAATGAGCAGTGTTAATGAGTTAAGAGTAATGCCATTGCTTCGTTCTTTTCCTTTTTATCATTTCCTTCTCTGTTTCTTTTGTTTTGTTTTAGGTCTAGCAGTGCAATTGTGCAAAGTAAATGTTCAAGCATGAAAAGTATCCATTAGTATGGAGTGTAAATAAGTTTTCGCGCAAATTTGGAATGTAATGTAATACAAATGATCAATGGGCGATTCATAACGACAAACAAGATTCTTAAAATATAAAACTATAGTTGTGATAAATCAATCAACTCCAATGAATATTTTATTACATGGTAATGTAATATATAATCAATCAACTGAATCTTTTATTATTGTTATTACATTGATGATCAATGGGTCATTCATCATGACAAATGAGATTCTTAAATACAAATCCTTTGTTCTAGAGTACACTTGATTTTTTTTCATTCCATTCACACGGTTGAATGGGTCGACCTGTCTAGTCGACCCTCATATCGAATAGGTCAAATCAGGTCAAACCTGATTGAAGAGGCCGAATAAATCAACCCTCATAATATTTCAAACCTAGTTGAACTTGTTCAAACTCGGTCAAATATGGTCAAATTAGAGTGAACTTGGTCGAACAAGTCATTCAAGCATGAGGACTGGTCAGCTCTACTGATTTGTCCTTTTTGTCACCCTTCACGGCTCCACGAAGCGTCATTGTTATAATTGTTGGCCATTTTGCTACAGCTTTTGGTCGCCATCTTCATCACTAACTTCTCTCTTCTTTCTTCTGTTGGTTGTTGCAGCTTCATTATCAAATGCTTAGTCGCCAGATTCGTTTACAACTTCATTGCCAGCGTAGCCGATTGGTATAAGATTATTGTATATAGGGTAGAGGGTAGGTCTTTTTTAAGTGATTTTAATTAATTCTATTATTTGAATAAGATAAAGGGGTATTTTAATAATAAGGTACGGAGCATCTTTTTAAAGGTATTTTGATAAAAACTCCAAACAATCGTCTTCTAAATAATCCTTTTTTAAAATAAATAACTAATGTATTCATTAAATGATAGCATAAGTGAATGAATGGATAGCATAGGGTTATAATAGGATGAGACAGAGAACATAAAGGATCTCATGAATCCTTCCAAATCGTTAATTTGGCAATAATTCATTAACAATCTTGCTGTTCTTGATATTCCAAATAAAAGATTTGACTAGCAACCAACAAAGGAAATTCGATTGAGTAAATATTGACTGAATAATCGATTTGATCAGCCACAAAAAAATAGATCAAATTGAGCACTAAATTCCTCTAAGAGTGAGACGATGATTCAAGAGGAGGACGAGTAGCTGAAGCTCGAGGAGAAATTGGTTGAACATGTCTTGCCAATCATGAACAATGACTCGGTCGGTTGCATCGACGATCGTGAGGAACATGCACCCTCTAGACGTTGTCAGGAAACAAATTTACTTCACACTCACGTGAGACGAACATACATAACTATCAGCCAAAAAAATAAGTTGGACCAAAACGAGAACCCTAAAAGTTAGAAATAAAAATAGAGCAACAACATATGATAACTTTCGATTTGTTATCATCCCGAGAATGACATCACAGTTGAAGACTCTTTCCAATCAGGGAAAGAAGACTATGAACACGTTTACTTCACATGTTACTAAATGGTGCTAATTAAGACTTGCGCATAAATAAGCGGTGTTATAAGCTCATGTTTATTTCACAAGATTTAAAACACTGTTTAACATTAAAATGTCCAAACTAACCCTATACAAATATAGACACACAAAACATTCATGTACACATGTATATATATTTAACACATGGGGCATACCCTTACCCCTAACCCCTACCCCTACACTACCCCCAATTCCAACCTATCCACGACCATACCCCTATACCCCTTTATCCCTACCCTAACCCTCACCCTAACCCCTACCCGACCCAAGGGTAGGGGTAACGAGGTGGAGAGGTAGGGTCGGGGTAGGGGACGATGGGTTTGGGGGTATTGTCGGGGGTAGGGGCTGGTAAGAGTTAGGGGTTGGGGTTAGGGCCAAGTATGATTGGGGGCAGGGGTATGCGTACAAGTAGGGGAAGGGGTTGGGGGTTAGGGGTACGATGACATGCAGTGTAGGCGTGGGGTAGGGACAGGGTAGGGCGTAACGGGGTAGGGGGATGTAGGGTCGGGGTAGGGGAAGGGTACCATACGGGTAGGGGAGGGGTAGGTGTAGGGGTAGGGAGTCGAGGTAAGGCTACACGGTAGGGGTACGCACACAAGGCATGGGTTTAGGGGTACGGGGGCCAAGGGCTGGGGCTGGGGTGGGGTCTAGGTAGGGTAGGATAGGGGGTTAGGGGTGGGTAGAGAACATGGGTAGGGGTAGGGTAAATTCGAAAACTGAAAGAACTTAAGGTGCCACTTAATTAACAGGGCCGGTCCTGACAATTTATGGGCCCGGGACAAAAGATAAAAAATAGGCCCATAATTTTATATGTTGCAAAAATGTAATACAAAATTTCATTGTCAACCATAAAATTGTTAAAGTAAATATTCAGCTCACAGAACTACATAGTATCATAAAACATACTCACACAAAACAATTTCAAATTTGAGAGCAGAGAACAAAGAAGCCTGAAGCGATTAACGGATTAAGAGAATTGAATTGATTAAGAGAAGTGTGTAGTTAACTATAAAAAACCGGAGATTTTAATATGATTTGTACCGAGGAAGCGGAAGGATCGAGTATTCAACGCTTGGGAACTGATTCTTGAATTGGGAATTCGAGATTGGTATTAATTTCTAGTTTTGGATTTGTGTGAGGAAGATTGAGAGTCGATCTGCTTCTACTTCTGGCGTGCGGCTCTGCTAAATCTAGGGAATGAGGGATTTTTATCTTATACGTATGGAGGAGTATTAGTATTGACATACGGAGTAATTTTAATTTGGACTTTGGACATTTAACATTTAGTATTATATATATAAATATATTATATTATATTATATACTACTATAAAATTTATGGGCCCTCTTGTCCTGGTGGGCCCTTGGCAGCGGCCCAGGCTGCCCCTATACCAGGGCCGGCCCTGTTAATTAATACTCCCTCCGTATTAATATGTTCCCTACATTTGCTTTTGGCACAATATTTTAGGATAGAATAGTAAGGGTAGTGAATATTGTTGTAAAAGTATGAAAGAGATAAACTTACAAAAAATGGAAGTATAAAAAGTAGATAAAGTAAGGGGTAGTTGAGTATTTTATAAAGGATAAACTTACCAAAAAATGAAAGTGTAAGGAACTTTTAAATACATCTCAAAAAGGAAAATGTATCTCAAAAAGGAAAATGTATGGAACTTTTAATTAAGAATATTTTTAAACAAAAATTTGCACGACATCTATTCCTAGATATTACTACTATACACATTTTGGTAATTTCTCTCTCAATCACAATATCTAGTTCTAGAACTCATATATGATATCGTAGTATTAAGGAATAAAAACTTGTATAACTTGTATTTTTAAATATAAAAAATAGTATAAAAAATCAATCATATATATATAAAAGAGGAACTT